AAAGAAAAGAAATTCACAGGTGTCAGAGTCACATGCTGGAGGACCCCATGACATGGCAGCTTAGTGTTCTTAGGCCCAAGTTCCACAGGCCACAGCATCTGGAGACAAGTCACAAAGGCCCTGGTGACAGTACACTTACTTGCAATATGTAGAAAGCAACACTCATCACCCATTTTATCTTGGCTAGTTGAGCTGTCCGTGCTTTCACTGAAAGGAAAAAGAGAAGCAGGATGAACCGTGATGCAGTCCTGACAACAGGAGAAGACACTTCGACCACAGACACTCTGCCTCAGGAAGTACCTCCAGGTAGAGACAAGAACGATCACCCGAGACATTTAGAAATATAAGACAGAACTTCTTAAAAGTCACTCAGATTGTGAGGTCAGGACAGCTTCACTTTTGAGAACCCTCAAAATTATTCACCTCCACCAGAGGTTCTTTTTATAATGCCTTGTCAACAGTAATAAATTCTCTTCCCTACTTCCTGGTCTACATCACACAGAAACCCCAAGCAGGAGTCTAGATGGTCCCCAGCCTAAAGATGTGCTTTCCGTACCTTGAAGACAGCTCTCTCACCACGCACAGGCCAGCAGGGCCTTCGGCACATGGCTGTCCTTCACTCAGATCACGACAGTTTTGGGCATTTTCCAGAAAGCAGAACAACCCTACAATATGTTTTTCTAGGATTCCTTTCTGAGAACCCACTACAATATCTTTTTCTAGGATTCCTTCAGAAAAATGCTGAATTTGAAAATGAAACCCTAGGGCTGGGGTCATGGCTCAGCTGTAGAGCACTCGCCTAGCATGTGCAAGGCCCGGGGTTTGATCCTCAGCACCACATAAAAATAAATAAAGGTATTGTGTCCAACTACAACTAAAAAATAAATATTTAAAAAAGAAAATGAAAACCTACAAAGATACATTGACTCCAAAGAAAATCTAAAAGGATTCTTAAATGTTTCTGTGTTTAGAATGCAAAGCTTCACCAGCAAATCAGGAGAAAGTAATATTTATTACTGGGTTTCTTCCAGACAACATAAAAAATTTCTATCAACATTTAGAATGCCTAAGAAGCAAAGCCTGTGTCCTACAAATCCATATATAGAGAATTCTCTATTAACCAGCTCTCGCGACACTTTCCAGGTGCCACTCACTGCAATACCATGAGTCTTGAGCTTGTCCGTCATCTTGTTGATCTTCCTTTCCAGCCTGGCGTATCTGGCAAACTCGTCCATCATGTTGACCGTGGAGAGCTCTTGCTTCATATCCTGGATCTCTGCCCTCATCTGCGACTCCTGCTCTGCATCCTTCTGCAGCACCCTGGACATCTGGCAGGGTGGAAGGCCGAGATCAGTATCTTCCCATGTGGGGTAGAGAACGGCTCCACAGCCCTCCCCTTTCCTTATATGTTCTGACTGAGAAACACAGTGTGCTTTCTACTGTGACCCAGCCAGCTGCCTATTTTCCTTGCAGGCTTGAACCCAAGATGTGGCTTTGAACATTCCCAGATCCTTACATGGGTCAGGCTATTGCTGGAAAACACTGGGTGATTAGCTTTGTTGCTCAACATGTAGAAACCAGCCACCCTCAGAAAAGCCGCTCACGCTCAAACACCCACATAATGGGGGCTGGGGCTGTGGCTCAGTGGTAGAGAGCTCGCCTAGCATTCATGAGGCACTGGGTTTGATCCTCAGCACCACATAAAAACAAAATAATATGTCCATCTAAAACAAAAGATACATAAATCAATAAATATTTTTTTAAAAACACCCACATAAACTCTGTAATCCAACCCCCTTGTGGAGGACATACCTAGGAAAAACATATCTTATTTCTTTCTCACTGTCTGTCACAAGGATGGCTATGTTAATTCCCCTGAGAAAAGCTCTGCACAGATTATCCCAGTGTTTAGAGCTTCTTTCTTTGGAATCCCACCCAGCCCTGTCTTCAGATGGTTTGGAACAGCCTCTTGAGGGAACCCCCCTGCCAAGGCTTTTGAGGTGACTCTGGCCATGTTTGGCTGCACAGGACAAACCAACATCATATTGCTGTGCCTTTCAAGCTGCCCATGACCTACATGGCCAGGCTGTGGCATTTTCCTAGCCTTTCCAACAGCACAAAGAAAGCCCAAAACTCTGAGCTGAGGTTGACACTCAGTGGCAGAGCGCTTACCTCTCACACGTGAGGCCCTGGGTTCTATCCTCAGCACCACATAAAAATAAATAAAAATAAAGACATGTGTCCATCTACAACTAGGAAAAAAATTTAAAAAAAGAGAAAGCCCCAAATTCCCTTGAATTTGAATGACTATACAAATGACATTTTTCCTTCTGCAGATATGCCATAGATTACTACAGTACAAATGTGTGTATTTTTTACTTATAAGAATCCAATTAGCATCATAAAATAAAAATCAATTCCATCATCACAGCAGCCATTTAAGTGACAGGGAACATAATCCTGTTCCCGTCCTGAAGAACTGAGTCCTACATTAGATGGGGCTGAGAAGGTGGGGGTGCAGGGCATCAGTGATGAGGTAGAGGCCTAGAGCAGGGTGTCAGAGCCCAGTGGGGAGGGTCTTCCCACACAGGGGCACCTGATCAAGGCAGATCAGGGCCAAGCATAGTGATAGAGGACCCCCAAGACAGCGCTGCCAGACAGGGAGTCAGAATCTGAACAGCTGAGGAATACAGATGGCAAATCATAAAACAGGAACCCCACCAAACATGGCATCAGAAGCCAAGCAGGAATGAAGCAGCCATCCACACTGGGTACAGGTGACAGAGGAGATGGGAGATTATGGGCAAGGACATCACATAAGCATTAAAGGTAAGGAGAGTCGGTCTTCTGTCAGAAAAAGACAGAAATGGGTATTGGGAGAGAACTAGAACTTAGAACTGGAAATATGGATATGAACTCGTGGTTTGAGAAAAAGTACTCTCCCCAGCAAGACCCAGAGGACTCCACGGGCAGAGGAATCCTGTATGGAACTGTAGCCCACCTAGACTGACTGCCACCCAAAGGCCTCTCCCCCTCCCATATACCTATGCCAGTGGGCCAGGAACATGAGGATGAGATGACAGTGGCCGCCAGGTGGCGCCCACCAACTGTTCAAGATGGGCCTGGGTCAGAGCACTGCAAGGGCACACTGAGGCAGAGAGGTCCTGGTGGGGGAGCGCTGGCCTCCAGCAACCTGCCCGGCGTAATGAGCAAACACCCCAAAATGGAAGTCCTGTGCCAGTGGACGAGAAGCAATGAAAACACAGCACCCCTCCTGAGAGAGCCAGGCCAACACTGAACAAAACCAGCAAGCATGGCCCTGATGCTCAGTCCCGAAAGTCAAGGCCAGCCCCATCTGAAAATCAGCTGGTAGGAGGATGACACAAGCTGCCTGGCTCCTCCCTCCAGGACTTCTGGGGACAAGCATGGGAACATCCCTGGACACAGGATGGATGTTCTTCCATCTAGGGAAGGGACCAAGGCCCCTACAGAGCTCCAGACCCTGAAAAGCCCAGATGCCACTCTCCGCCAGGGCCAGCACCACCAGCTGGAACCTGAGCACTAGCAGAGCTTCAGGCCTGCAGCTGCCCCTCCTCCTAGGACACTGGTCCCCTCATAAGAGCACCCCAGACAGCTGTATACTGTTCTCCACCCCAGGGACCCCAGGCAGGTCCTGTGAGTCGGCTGTGTCCTAACGCTTGGAGACTCACGGCAGGGACTCGCTGAGAGCCTGACTGCTTTGGAAAGGAGATGTCTAAGAAACATGCCACTTGGGCTGGGGATGTGGCTCAAGCGGTAGCGCGCTCGCCTGGCATGTGTGCGGTTCAATCCTCAGCACCACTACAAAGATGTTGTGTCCACTGAAAACTAAAAAGTAAATATTAAAATTCTCAAAAAAAAAAAGAAAAAGAAAGAAAGAAACATGCCACCCACACAGATCCTGCAGTGTCCACCTCTCCCTCAATCCTCTAGTGCAAAGGGAGATGGCCGCGTTTTCCAGCAAAAAGTGAAGGATGATTTTGAAAATGCTAGGGCTATAAAACAGTGGTAGGCCCCACAAACCTAACCCAGAGGCGGCCTGCACCATACCCAACTGTCCGCAAAGCTAGGTATCCAGGACGAGCTGCTGGCGGCACCTACACAGTACCTGTGGCTCGCCAGGACCCTCACCCCAGCCTCTGCCACACCAGGCCCCAGGAGCTACCCGTAGTATGAGTCTCTTGCACCTACACAGCAAATCAACAAAGTGGACTAAAAGGGCAAAAGACTTGCCCAGACAGCCTCCAAAGAAAATATGCAGCTGTGAGGGTAGAGATAAAGATGGTTTCTCTTACTGCACCCTCACAATGCAGGTACGGCTGTTGATACCAAAATGCACAGGGACTTCCGACCAGCAAGTAGCAATCAACTCCATACCAGCGAGGTGTCCTCTAATTCATTCAACTCTGACACTATCTACCAAGAAACAGTGTCAGATCCCACAGGTATAAGGCTTAGTCCCATAGGACAATCCTCACCTCAAACACTGGTTACAAGTTCCAGCCTCTGGAATTTCTGGCAGACAACTACAAATTAGAGTTTCCATGAGTCGCTCTTTAGGTTCCATTAATTTGCTAGACCAAGGCCTGGGAGTGTAGCTCAATGGTAGAGGACTTGCCTAGCATGCAAGAGGCCCTGAGCTCAAGCCCCAGCACTGCAAAAAGAAAAAAAAAAAAAAACTTGCTAGCCCAGCTGGCAGAACTCAGGGAAACACTTGCCGATTTTACAAAGGATATGTTAAAGGATACAGATAAGCAGCCAAGAGGTATGAAAAGGGAGGTCTGGAAGAATCTAAGCATGGGCACCCCATCCCCAGTTGAGGAGGACCCTCTCAGCACATAGATGAGTTCCTGTTCACTCTCCTGTGAGCCTTCACATGTTAGGCTGGCCAGAAGGTGCCACACCTTTCCTTTGGGAGATCTCACTACACAGGCATAACTGATGAATGGACAGCCACACAGGAATGAGAGTGGACATAAAGAGTAAGGCCTACTGCTAATGAGCTGAGAAATTTCTTTGTGCTCAGCTCTAGACAGAAAAGTGGAAGAAGATTATATTTTTGGTTTCTATGACCTGTCTCAGGAAAGAGAATCTTGATTCCTATGGCCTGCCTTGGGGAGAAAAGACAGGTGAAAGGAGGATGGGAGAAAATTGAGAGACACAGAATTTGCTTTCTGAGGCCTACAGTGCCCCCAAATTATTTAAAATTAAAAAAAAAAAAAAAAGGTCTTTAATCTTCATTGCTCTGAAGCCATTCCAAAATAACATTCGTGGATGTTATGAGCCAGGAGCCACAAACAAAAAAACAAAATAAATGAATCATAATGCCACAGACTTCCATAAGCACATGGAGAGATGCTGGGAAATGCAAGTCAAAACTACAGTGACAGACCACTCATCTATCAGGATGGCAACTGGTTAAAAACAACAATAACAAAAAATAACAAGTGCACTGAGTGGGAATGCAAATGGCCTGGCCACTGCGAAACCAGTGTGGCAGCTTCTCAGCAAAACTAACCAAACAGAATTCCCATCTGATCCAGCAATTCCACTTTTACCGGGGATTGAAAGCAGGGGCACTCTGCCACTGAGCCACACTCTCTCAGCCCCCCCTTTTTTAATCTGGAGACATGTTCTCACTAAACTGCCAAGGCTTGCATGGAAATTGCAATCTCCCTGCCTCAGCTCCCTGGGATTACAAGCGCGCACCACCATGCCCAGCTCTAGCGATTTCACTTGTGATTATACCCAAAAGAGTTGAAAGCAACTGGGGTTAGGGTTGGGGTTCAAGTGGTGGAGTGCTCGACTAGCACACGTGAGGCACTGGGTTCGATCCTCAGCACCACATAAAAATAAAATAAAGATATTGTATCCACCTAAAACTAAAAAAAATTAAATATTAAAAAAAAGAATAGAAAGCAAGAACTCAAACACAGATTAATACATCCACTTCTAATAGCTTCACTTATAATAGCCAAAAGGAAGAAATAACCCAAGTGTCTATAAACAGATGAAAGGATAAATAAACAGGTGCACGCATGTAATCCCAGCAACTCAGGAGGCTCAGCACTTTAGCAAGGCCCTAAGCAACTAAGACCTAAGCAAGTGAGACCCTGTCTCAAAATAAAAAATAAAAAGAACTGGGGATGTGGCTTAGTGGTAGAGCACCCCAGGGTTCAATTCCTAGTACCAAAAAAAAAAAAAAAAAAAAAGATAAATGGATAAACAAAATGTGGTACCAATATACAGCGGGATATTATTCAGTCTTTAAAAAGGAAGGAAATTCTGACATATGCTACAACATGGATGAGATAGTATGCTAAGTGAAATAAGACAAAAGAAAAAAAGCTGTGGTTCCATTTACATGAGGCTCCTAGAGTAGCCAAACTGAGACAGCAGAATGATGATTGTGAGGGACTGGGGGAAAAGAATAGAGCTATTTTGTAATAGGCAAGAGTTTCAGCTAAAGGCTGATAAAAGATTCTGGGATAGGGATAGAGTAGTCTGCAAAACAATGAGAATGTCCTCCTGCCACTGGACTGTACAGCTAAAGATGACGAGGATGATGATGATGAATTCTATGTTATGTGTACTTTACAACGAAAAGAAAAAAGACAAATGTTTTAGTCAGTTTTTTCACTGCTGTGACCAAAAACCTGACAAGAACCATTTCAGATGACGAAAAGTTGGTTTGGGGCTCACAGTTTCAGAGGTCTCAGTCCATAGATGGCCAACTCCATTGCTCTGGGCCTAAGATGAGGCAGACCATCATGGCCAAAGAAAGCAGCTCAGGACATGGCAATTAGGAAACAAAGAGCTCTGTTCACGGGGGGACAAAATACATACTCCAAAGGCATAACCCCAGGGACCCACCTCTTCCAGTCACACCCTACCTGCCTGCAACTATCACCCACTTAATCCTTCCAGTGTATAAGGCGCTGATTAGGTAAAGGTTCTCAACACCCGATCATTTTACCTCTAAACTTTCTTGCATCATCTCACACATGAGCTAAACCATAACAAAAAGGAAAAGACAGCTCTTCAGCAGTCTTTCATGCAAGGTTTAGAACCTAGGATATTCTCTTAATCATCAGGTGGCATCAGGAAAGATTCTGAAGGGGAGCAGGGGTTAACAGAAAATCCTCTATAATTCAGGGTAAGGGGTTAAGGCCCTAGAATACAGTTTTGCCCCAAACAGACACTCAACCAATCCTAGTAGAATAAAGCAAAGAAGCAGAAGTCCTGCCTAGTCTTAAATATGCCACCACCACCAATTTTTATTAGGAGAGAAAGAGCTGTTTCTAGTCTGAAGTCTCAGTCTGAGTCAGACAGCCCCTCACTTTTGCTGTGAGCAAAGAGAGGGTGCCCCGCTCCCCGAGCCCCTGCCCTACAAATCCCTTACTATGCTCCGGTAGGCAGGAGTGCAGAACTGGAAGAAGCACAAGGCAAGGCTCCAACCTCCACCCAGTAGTCACTAGGTGGATGACTTAGTGCAACTACTACACTTTTATCTGGTCTCCTCCCCCGGGAGGTGAGAGTCGTTGAGGACATCCCCCCCCTCACAGCAGCCGGGACACCTGGCCGCCAGGCTGAGGCACTCACTGCCGGGCGACACGTCGCGTTGCCCCCTCGGACCCCAAAAGCATCACACTGTACTAGGATTCTCTCTTCACCAGTCTCCCCGCCCCGCTCGTCCCAAAATGCGGGCCCCTGCAGCTGGGCTCCGTCGCTCCGGGACCCGGCACGCGGACCATGCAGCGAGGCCTCGGGAGGCCCCGTCCCTGCAGCCAGGGCCGCTCCAGGCCAGGGACCAGGGCTAACCGGACGGCGGGGCTGGCAGCCGCGCGCCGGGCACCTTCTCCGGTCGCCGCCGCCACCCACGGCGGGAAGGCTCCGGCCACGTGAAAGCCGACCAGGACTGCGGCGCCTCCCCGCTCGGGAACCGGCTGCGGAGGGAAGACTCTGCGCCTTCAGATGCTGGGAACCAAAAACCAAATCACCTCACGACGGCGGCCGGCACGGCGCTGCGGCCCCCGGGCGGCCGGCCTGGGACCCCCGAGCGCGCCAGGGGGCCCTGCGGCGGCATCCCCACCGGCCCGGGAAAGGCAGGCAGCACTTACGAAGGAGGACAAGGACGGAAGGAGGATCCGCAGGACATTGCACCCAAACACGAAACAGAGCACCAGCAGCCACGCCCAGCGGTCGGCCTCGGCCGCGCTCATCCCGAACGCTCCCCGCCGCGCCAGCACCGCTACGGAAGCTCCATAGGGACCAAGCTGGCGGGCGCGCCCGCGCCTGCGCAATGTGTCCCACCGGCCGTGCTGCGGCGTGTCCGTACGCCTGCGCACTGCACCGCCTTGGGGAAGAGGCGGGGTCGACTTTTCCTCCCAGTCCCGGTGGAGCGCAGGATATGCTGACCTTCCCCTGGCCTTCCTGGGTTCCGTAGTGGTGTCCTACCCATCCCGCTACCTGGGGTAACCAGTCTTCCAAAATTCCTGTTGGGTCATCGTCGCAACTGCAATTTGGTCATATATACAAACCATTTGTGTTATCAATACTTTATTTAAATTGACCCACTTTTGTTCCTAAGTAAACTTACTTTAAAACAAAATAAGCCTTTGGTTAAACAAAAACTACCTTATGGTGACAGGTAACTAAAAAATGTTTTCTCAGCAGTTTTTCTATGTAAAATGTCTTGAGTGCACATTTCAGAAACTAAACACTAATAAATTTAAATGACGTATAAAATTGCACGCTTGAAAAATAAGTTCATGAATCAGAAGACAATGTTCAGACGCTGGAGACGTATTCAGTGGTAGGGGCTTGCCTAGCAGGCACCATGCCCTGGGTTCAATCTCCAGCACCAAAACAAAATCATTTACAACCAATCTAATAATAAAATTTAGGTGAAGATCAGGTTTTGCAACAAAAGAATCACAACTCATGTCTGTGTAGTGTATAAAGCAAAAGATCTTTTGTTGTCTTTTCTGTCATGGTTAGATTCTGAGAACTAATTCCTATCCAAAATAATGCAAGGATCTGTGATTCTACACATTTGTTTCCAGAAAACACGTGAAGCACAGCTATTCAATAGCAGTAGAATGAATTATTTTCACGAAAAAGCATATTAAGTTGATAGGTGACTGCTAAACTAACCAAAACAAAACAAGCTTGGGGCCTCTCCCCATAACCTTCCCCTCCAGCTGGACCCCCGAAAACGGCAGCTAGGCTCCAGGGTCCCCCAATCCCATGAGACTTCAATCCACGGAAAAGGAGAAGCTGTCTGCTGAATAGTATGGCCATGCCTCCCCCTCCTTCAATCAACCCCAGCTGAACACCTAGGAATTAGTAGAAATCAGGTTTATTGGCTGCAGCTAGGTCCAGAGGAAGGCTTTTGCCTAAATCAATTCATTCCTCCGATCCCCAAGTTCAGAAATGTTTAGAATTTTATGCGCAGTGTGTATGCGCAGTGTGTAGGGGAGAGGGCACTAAGAAGCTCACCATCTGCAGAAGTCCACATAAAAGTAGGTTTCTTTTTTTTCCTACTGTTCTGGACAATCAATCCAGACCTGGAAAATAAATCAAGGACACTCTCTAAGAAAATCAGTGCCCGGGAAAGGGAAATTTACCTTCCCCTCATTTGTACCATTTACTCCTATCTTTGGGACTGTAAAGGACTTTCCCTAGGATCCAACTTCTGTCCTTTGAAAAGCAAATGATTCTGTGAAGGCTCAGGCCAACTAGAGGCCTTGAGTTAGTCTCCCTTATCGCAGTCTGCTTCTGTAAACATATTTCCCACCTGAAAACTTTTTTTTTTTTTTTACAAAAATTCTTGCTCATAGTCTAAGAACAGTTTGGTGAGAGTCTTTGGAAAAGCTTAATTAAGATTTTCTGTGGAGGAGAGGTGCCATAACACAACTTCTGCTTTTCAGGCTGAAGAGGAAAGCATCTGATGTTCCCCACCCCTACCCACAGCCCATGCTGCTGTCACATATTCCCAGGAGAAAGACCCCTCCATTCCTAGTGAACAAAAATTCTGAGAAAAGAACACTGGAGAATGCCCCTAGACTGATGCAGCAGAGGTGGGAGAGACCCAGTGCTGCATGGCCTTCAGAGGTGACTCAATTTTAAAACCTCGGCTCTGCTGTTACTTCATTTGGGCAACTTTAAAAAAAAAAAAAAGCAGTAGCAATAAAAGTTTGAATTCTACTAATTTGTGGAAAGAAAGTAGAAAAGCGGGCACATCTCAATATGAATCTGAATCAGTCAGTCTAGATCTGGTACAGGTTACAGTGGTTACAGAAGCTCATAGAATGAATGTTAGTTTTTTGATTCTGCAATCACAAGCTACCACAAAATTAGTAGCTTAAAATGCATACATTTATTATCTGACAATTCAGAAATCTGAAATGCATCTCGCTGGGCTAAAATAATGTTCTTGAGTGTCATGAGCCGTCCATGGGCTGTGTGTGGACTACGTTGCGTGTCATAGCCTCATGAGGGGATAGTCTGGCATTGGGAACCTCCCATTGGACCCCTACAGTGATTGACCACCTGATGCAAGTGAACTTCCCCCTCAAACTCTGCCAAAGATCCCACACAGCACCTGAGATGGGTATGACCTGAGAAGATGCCAATCAACCTGCTGACTGCAAGACACCAGGAAGCAAGACTCCGCCCTTGAAACTTTATCCCTGCCTTTGAGGCACCCCCTTAAATAAACCACCAGAGCCATCTTATCTTTGTCTAGTTCCAGTGCCCAAGTGGACTAGGTATATCAGGGACTTTGCTTCTGTAAATATATTTCTGGCTATTTGTGTTTTGTCATTCACTAATTATTTGAGACTTTAAGTTTTAGGATGGCTTACATCCTCCTGGGCAGGAAGAAGTGAGATGCTGGCCATCGCCCCTGTTACATGAGGACATATGGCAAACAAAATAAACCAGTCACAAAAACACAAATCATGCATGAGGGCTGGGGCTGTGTCTTATGGTGGAGTGCTTTCCTAGCATGTGTGAGGCATTGGGTTCCATTCTCAGCACCACATAAAAATAAATAAAGGTTCATCCACAACTAAGTGTGTGTGTGTGTGTGTGTGTGTGTATACACAAATAATGCTCAATTCCACTCCCATTAGATCTCTAAAGTAGTCAAACCCTCTAAAACATGGACTAGAGGGACGGGGAGACAGGTAGTCATTGTTAAGTGGGTGCTGAGTTTCAAGTTTGCAAGGTGAAAAAGTTCTGAAGACCTGGTGCACAACAATGCAAACATACATGACACTACTGAACAATACACTATAAAATATTTACAATAGCCGGGCATGGTGGCCCACACCTGTAATCCCAGTGGCTTATGAGGCTGAAACAGGAGGATCGAAAGTTCAAATCCGGCCCCAGCAAAAAAGTAAGGTGCTAAGCAACTCAGTGAGACCCTGTCTCTAAATAAAATACAAAATAGGGCAGGGAATGTGGTTCAGTGGTTGAGTGCCCCTGAGTTCAATCCCCAGTCCCCCCCCCCAAAAAAAAAAAAAAACTACAATGGCAAATTCTATTACCAACATCTGTGAACATCTGTGCCTCCCATCTTCATCATTGGACTTGACAATGAATAAATTTACATCAGAAGTTTGCATCTAGCATTTATGCAATATAATAAAAATTTTTGTTGTTTCAGAGGTTTTCCTTGTTTTGTCTTTCAATGAAGAGGCTTGGAAAAAAAATTAGGGATGGGAGGAGCACTAAGGATTGAACCCAGAGGTGCTTTACCACTGAGTTACATACCCAATTCTTTTTATTTATTTTTAAAATTATTTTATTAGTTGTTGAAGGATATTTATTTATTTATATGTGGTACTGAGAATCGAACCCAGTGCCTCACACATGCTAGGCAAGTGCTCTACCACTGAGCCACAAACTCAGCCTCCTTTTTTATTTTGAGACAGGGTCTTGCAAATCACTGAGAATCTTGCCAAGTCACTGAGGCTGGCCTTGAAATTGGATCTGTCTGTCTCAGGCTCCCAAGTCACTGGGATTACAGGCATGCACCACCACATCCAGCAAAAGGAAGAATATTTTTAAATGGACAATGGACCGTCTCACATATGTCAGATAAATAAGTTTAATAAGATTAGTAATACACATTTGGCTCACCTTTTAATTTAATGAAATCAAAATTTCAAACTGGAGAAAAATTATACCATAAATTTGCCATATATGAATTTTTTTACCAGAAATTTTTAAAAAATGGGGGGCTGGGGATGTGGCTCAAGCAGTAGTGCGCTTGCCTGGCATGTGTGGGGCACTGGGTTCGATCCTCACATATAAAAATAAAAATAAAGATATTGTGTCCACCTAAAAAACTAAAAATAAATATTTTTTAAAAATTTGCAGGCAGGGAGCTCTTAGGGATTGAACCCAGGGCATAGCACATGCAAGACAAATGCTCTACTACCAAGCTACATCCCAAACCCTTTCTTATATTATTTCGATACAGGTTTTTGCTAAATTGCTGAAGCTGGCCTCAAACTTGTGATCCTCCTTCCTTAGACTCCCAAGTGGCTGGAATTACAGGCAAATGCCATCATGCCCAGAAAAAAAAAAAAAAAAATATATATATATATATATACACATACATATATATATTTTAAAGGTATTAAATTATTCTGTGTATCAGATATTTTACCACCTGCAGATAAAATATGATGATGAGCCGAGCACACATCTGTAATCCCAGAGGCTCAGGGAGCTGAGGCAGGATCATGAATTCAATGCCAGCCTCAGCAACTTAGCAAGGCCCTAAGCAACTCAGTAAGATCCTGTCTCTCAATAAAATAAAAAAAAAAGGGGGTCTGAGGATGTGGCTCACTGGTTCAGTAGTTAAGCTCCCCTGGGTTTAATCCCCAGTATCAAAAAAAAAAAAAAAAATATATATATGTATAAATAAATATAAACAGAAATATATATATATATATATATACACACACACACACATAGATGATGATGATGAATCAAATGCTTCCAGTCCTTGTTCACTTGGAGCTTAACTAAACAAATAACTAAGTCCTGTAAATAATTACCAGCATGCAAAGTGTTCTGAAAGGATACATAGGTTTAAGTAGGTAATTGTCTGTCCTGGTTCCACGTTGTAGGCTTGTGGGTGCTCATTACGTTGTTGTCAGTAAATAATATAATATGAAGGAGGACTGTGAATGAAATAAGGGTGGTTGCATCATTTAAGATATTTTCCCAAAAAAAAGTATGGGTCACTATAAAATATAGG